TTTTAGATACAACCAGGGGCAAGTCATTAAAATTTCAGGTCAAACCTACAAAAGCTAAATCATGCATAATGTTCAAAGAAGATATGATTCTGTTTTTGCTTGGGAGCTACGTGGCTGTGTGTGTGAGGTTGTAAAAAGGAGACATCATCTCCGTTAGCATCCCAGGTAGCCTCTACCAGTGACCTATGACTTTCCCTGGAACGCTACGGGGTTTGTCAACTTCCTCTCAAGGCAGACGTGCACACCCAAGCACGTAATACAATGCACACACAAACACACCTCAATCAGGGTTGAACAGTTTGAACTTGACAGCAAAATCAATTAGTTTTTTGGTTGTCGGGTGAGCTCCGGGCTGCAACCGAGACTTATATGACAAGTTATTCCAACACATTTGTTGTTGTTCTTGTCAAAATGATCTTTTAACTAAAATTGCCATCTTTCAGTGATAGACTTCACTTTTGAGCCTTGCTTCCAAAATTAGCTCAACTAATCTGATAACACCACCCGCTCCATCATCCCCAACTGTCTCAAAGATATAATAACATGCATGTTGTCTGACATTCAACTGTCTGAAGTCCTCTTCATCGGTCCTATAATCCCTCAACAAGCAGATGCAAAGCTTCTCCTTCTGTGTTGACAGCTCCAGTCATTTTCCTCCTGCATTTTGATTCTGTTCTTTTCTTCAAGCCTCACATGAATCACAATGTCAAAACAGTTTTTTTTTTGTTTTTTTTTTTAATATTGAAAAAAACGTCTACATCCATCCCTTTCCTTTTCTGCTCCCACAACTTTCATCTACTCATTAATCTTCTCCACGGCCAATCAAATATGTGCAACATACGTTGATGGTAGATTACTTTGTAGCGTTAATAGGGTAATTGTTAGTGTTGAGCTTGTGATTGTCAAGATGGAGGATAAAATGATTGTGGCGGTGATAATTTTCTACTGTTACAAAGTCATGACATGGTGTTATTAACTGCTGTGCGGTGTTTTGTGTGATTTTATATCCTCTATCTGTAACTGTAGCAACACAGTCACACCAATTAAATTATCTGAATACAACTTAGGACTAAAGGAATACTATCTTTATACTGTAGTCTCTGCTGTTTGCACTCGTCCTGCAAACGGACAAATATAAACAAAACCCACGGACAAAATCTCTTCCTTTTTTCCATCTGCTCTCAGCCTCCCTCCGACTTACACAATCAACCCCCCCCCCACCATCCTTGTCACGTCCACAGGGCTCGCGCTGCCTGCCGCGAGGTGAGAGGTCTTCTGGCTGGGGACCAGGACAGCACACGCCTCTCTTTGATCTACCCCGCACTGGCTGCTACCTGCAGATAGCATATTCACACACACAGCGCTCTCTCCCTTTCAGCCACAAAGACAGTTCTACATCTCTTGCTTCCTCCCTCTTCTTTTTTTGTCGGATGCATTATAAACTGTGTTCACAGTTGTGGGTCCTATGATGCACTGCTGATGTAGACAGAACAGTTCAGAAGAGCAGTTTTTTAATTTATTTTTTGCCTTAATGCAATCGGAATTAAGGGTGGAAAAATACTACAACTGTAAGGGTTTTGGTAAAAATGTGTACCGTTCGACCCTTTTTCCTTTTTGTGTGTGTGTACTTGTCTCTGTTACCATTTGAAGGCAGAATTACAGCTAATGATATCCTAGAGGAAAACTACAGTAGCTAAACATGCAACAGTTTTTTCTTTCTCCACCTACTTTTTCTCCCTGTCAGACCGTTCCAGATACAAGTAGTCAAAGCCTGGAAAAAAGCAGAATTTCCTAGATATTAATACTTTTGAGTTTATACATGAAGTCTTTTAAATTGCTCTGGTCAGAGTAAAACTTTGTACTACTAACACACACAACTACTAACAGACAGTTTGAATGTGTTTGTCTGCCTTTTCTGGATGTTACTGTGCCACACGAATACAGTAACCCCCCCCC